CACAATAACCAGTAACTAATTATGTAAAATGAATATGAAAACAAATGGTAATGCATATTTAATATTACGATGTGATATTTACCGGATCTTACAAATCTTGCTCTTTGCACTGCGTTATGCTTCTATAAACGTAATGCAAATGGAAAGTGCACATTGCAGCATGGAGATTAAAGTCCGCATGTAATTTAACATTCCCCTCCGGGAAATGTATGTGATTCTTATTTCAGTATGGTAGTCTGTTGAGCTTTGCATAGAACTGTTATGAGAAACTGTAAACGAATAATTTACTCACTTTACCATCTCTAGGCAAGTACTAATACTTTACATCATTGTGAGAGGATGCGATACACACACACACACATATACATGTATAATATAAATGTATAATATATATGTATGAAGATGTATACATATACATATATATGTATATGTATATATTTGATATATATATATTGTATATATATATCATATATACATATACAGTATATGTATATATTTAATGTATATATATATTTAATATATATGAATATATATATATATAATACATATATGTTCATACACACATACACATATATGTTATATATAACATATATACATAAATACATACATACCCACACGCACACACACACACACACACATACATATATATACCTGTATATATTGATTTTTATCAGTATGAGATGGTGCCATGTACACACACACTCATATACCTGTATATATTTATTTATATATATTTTTTTTCTTTTTAAGTGGCTAAAAATTACAGATGAATAGATAACATGATATTACGCTACGATTGACATGTTTAGATTATATATACATATTTTTATTTCAAATATTTAAAGCTGTTTTGACTCTAACCTCATTAACTGTAACATAGGCATTTTCGTTTCCTTTTGTCATACTAGTAATCACTAGTATGACAAAAGACCATGAAACAGAATCTTTATTTGTGGACAACACAAGTCAAGGAACTATATACAGTAAGAGGAGCTAAATAATTTTTCAAGTTTCTTTAAAAGTAGACGCAATGTTTATGCTGACATCAATCTCGTAAATTATAACCGAGGTAAGCAAGATCAATAATAGGTTTTATCCTACTGTACGTTGGAAAACAAACACAATTATGGTCTGCCTTTCACACATTTCTTACTCTTGTTCTTAGAACGAATGAATCTAGAAATTTTAGCAATCCGAGGTCTATTAAGGTGTATTCAAAACCAAAAGGAAGTCTGCTTGTTTAATAATTCATATTTACAAAGATCCGAGATCAATAAATACCCTTGGTATAAAGCCTTAATCATATCCTGATTAAAATGTTTTAAGCATAAGAAGGGGTGGGTGGCTTGTAGGAAGGCTGAGGAGGCCCATAAGAGGTTTGTGGAGTGGGATACTGAACCTCTCCCTCGTAGGTGACATCAGCTACGTAACCGGAGTCTCCGTTAACGGTATAGGTAACCCTCTGCAGACGACCGTCGGGAAGAAGGACGTAGTAGGATCCTTGTGTGTTGTCTCCATCACGGGCTTCCTCATGTCCGAAGTCGTTACCAGATGGTGGGTCGTTTACGGCGTAGTTGTAGTCGTACTTGGCTGGAGCATAAGCGGGTGTGGGAGCGGGGTAACCATAAGTAGGGTGGTTATCAGGAAGTGCGATGGCGGCGACCACAAGGGTGGCTAGTGCTAATACCTGCAGGACGATATATACATATCATTAACTAGATCTGTATATTTAGGAGTGCGTAATGTATGCACTGTATAAAAAAAAACCTGTTGGTTATGGGATACTAATACTACAATACTACAATTCCTTTTCTTTTTTATTTGGCCTGTTAAAAATAATTTTAGTATACTTGCTTTGCCTCTATGACCAAATTTTCGGCTATGATTCTTGGATTAATGAACTGGAGTATACATATATTCTAGAAAATAATTGAATTGATTTTGCAATGCAATGGCATTTTCCATTACAAATGCCTAACAGAGGTACATACCTTGAATACCATGTCAGAATGAGAAGGTGATAAGACTGCAGACAGACTGGCGAATACAGGAAAAGTCCTTTCTTTTATACAAATGTCCAGGAAAGACTCCGCCCACGTCATGATGTCAGAGAATATCATCCTAGCAAGTTAACCTTGATTTTTCTGGTTCCAAATTCCCCCCGGCGATATTACTTATACATAGATGCTTGGAAGGTCTGTGTTGTCAGAGATAGATATATGGAGAAAAAAAAAACACATTTCAGACTGTGAATGGGTAATTAGCAATGAATGTTATAGTTAGTAAAATTTAATGGCGACGAAGATCTTCAACGTCCTTTATTTTATGTGAAGGCTTAAATGCTTCCCCCCTCATCTCCCTAATTGTTTGACTACTTAAGTTTATAATCCGCGCCAAAAGCTAAGCCCTTTAGCGGTACATTGCACTTTTAATATGCTAAAATATGTAAAACCATTAAGGTAATTCTGTTTATAAATACAGACTGATATTAATTTCATAGATACATGCAATGCTGAGCTAAAATCAGAACAAACTGCAAGAGTATAATAAGGTCTGGTAACTGTAACAAGGTGGGACAGTTTATATCTTTCATGATTCGGGATAAAAATCTATATATATATATACATATACACATAAGTATTAATATAAACTGCATAAAAATCCATAGCAGAGCTTATTAATTCGATGCCGTTCCGATGCCCGCACAAACACACCTTCAGGTTAAACATTCTAAATGTAAACCACTGGAAACTTGTTAGGCAAAGGTCTTAAATATGGGTCAAAAATATCTCCCAGCAGTTCCATCTGATCTTCCTCAAGAAGCACTTGATCAAAGTCTGACCAAGTCTGGAATGTTGGTTCTCAGAAATACTTCTTATTAAATCTACCGTAGATTCTATGGAATCCGATATCTCTATGTTTATCTCTCTATCTGTCTGCCAATCTATATATCTATCTATATTCATATTCGCACACACCTGTATATATACAGATATCTATATATCTGCACACACACCCACACACACGTATGTGTGTGTGTATATATATATATATTCATATTTATATGTGTATGTGTGTGTATTATATATACACGCATCTACATATTTACACGCACACCTGTAATATATATGTGTGTAAATATGTATAGATTTGTTTTTATTTATATATTTATGTTTTTTTAAATTATTTTCTTTAAAGAGAAGACTACATATAGGTCAACTTATAGTAATATATACATATTCAAAGACATTAGTGTGAAGTTGATATTGGGGATAGAATAAAATGTCTAAAAATATCAGTTGCTTATATAATATAATTATGAAAATAAAAAATCAAATAGTTATCTTTCTTTTACATTTAAGCGTAGGAGGGGGTAGGCGGTTTGTAAGAAGGCTGGGGAGGACCATAGGAGGCCTTTGGTGTGGGGTACTGAGCCTCTCCTTCTTCCGATCGAGTTTTCCCGTGCGATATTACACAAGCGTAGTTCTTCAGGTTAATTTATAAATTATATATTAATTTTAAAAATATTCACAATTCACATATGTATATTGATATGTATAGATGCACTATTATATACATACATGTCCACATCTATTTATCTATATATGGATACATCCATCCATCCAATCCACACACACACATTTTTTTTGTAAGTGGAGGAAAAGTACAAATGAATGGATAACAGGAACATATTTAGATCACACACACACACACATATATGTATGTATATATATATATATATATATATATATATATGTAGATGTATATAATCTTACAACTTTTCTAAATTGATTTGACACTGACCTCATCCTCTGAAATGTAAAGATTTCCGATTCCGTCGTAATCACTAAAACATAACAGTTACTTTAGACCATGAAACAGAAATTCCTCTAATTCAGTCAACCATTATAGAGTGCAGGCTATTTTTATTTGTGAAAAGCGCAATTCAAGGAGCTAAATACAGTGAGCGGTGCTATACAATTGGTCAAGTTTAATTTTATCTCGGTAAACCGGTTTGCGTACAGGATGCACAGAATCATGATTACATGAAAGGTAACTAACCAGTTGCGGTGAAGGATCATGTGTGGGTTAAGTGACCAGTAGGTTACTTTCAGTAGTGACCCTCTCGATGCCTGAATGGGTTTTAGATTCATATATACCAACTTCATACTTAAGAAAACCCAACTCTTCGTATTTAATGATTTAGGGAAGTTCACGTAGATTTCTTAGCCTACTGGAGCTCAACAGACTACCGTACTGGGGATGCCATGTACATACATATCATGTCCACAGTGAATTTAGTTTATTGATTATGTTTACATATAAATGGCTCCAAAAGAGCTTAGCCAACAAGGAGTATTAGTAGTCCAACATATTACACATGTTTTTCCCCTTGATTTTCAAAAACGTTCTCAATTTTTTAATGCTACTAGTATTACAGTGATGCCAGAATAATCATACTGCCATTAATAGTAACACTAGTACCAATAGCATTAGATAAAGAAAACACGAAAATTCATGGAATGTAGATAAAAGGTGAGGTCAAGTAGAGCCTACTGATTGACTCTCTGGTGATTGAGAACTAGTGAAGTCATCCATTTGTAAATAAATTCATAAAACGGAAATACAACTGTGATAAAAATAAGGGAAGGGTAGATTCAAACTAGTGGCAGTGATTTGTGCTCAACGAAAACCTCTCTAGTTTTCATCTGCTTAGGTTGATTGCTGTTTTTTTTTTACATAGTATCGACTGCACATTACAATAAGATATCAACTACACAAAAACATAGACACAAAATGTTTATGTTTTGATATTCAGTGTCGTAAAATATAACCGAAAATCGCAAAATCACTAATAGGTTTCACCCGACTGTATGTCGAAAAACAAACAAAATTATTGTCTTCCTATCATACATTTTTTATTCTTGTTCGGAGAACGAAAGACTCTCTTGGCATTCCCAGGTATATTAAGGTATATTCAATACCAGAAGGAGGTCTGCTTGTTTAATAATTCATATTTACAAAGATCCGAGATCAATAAATATCCTTGGTACAAAGCCTTAATAATTTCCTGATTAACATGTCTTAAGCATAAGAGGGTGTGGGTGGCTTATAGGAAGGCTGAGGAGGCCCATAGGAGGTCTGTGGGGTAGGGATACTGAGCCTCTCCCTCGTAGGTGACATCAGCCACGTAACCGGAGTCTCCGTTAACGGTATAGGTAACCCTCTGCAGACGACCGTCGGGAAGCAGGACGTAGTAGGATCCCTGTGTGTTGTCACCGTCACGGGCTTCCTGGTGTCCAAAGTCGTTACCAGATGGTGGGTCGTTTACGGCATAGTTGAAGTCGTACTTTGCTGGAGCATAAGCGGGTGTCGGAGCGGGGTAACCATACGTAGGGTGACTATCAGGAAGTGCGATGGCGGCGACCACAAGGGTGGCCAGTGTTAATACCTGCCGGTAGATATGTACATAACAATAGCGAGAGCTATACATTTAGAGTGTGTAATGAATGTTCCTTATGTCTTGAAAGCATTATTGACTAAGAGATACAATACTATGATTAGAAAAAAAACAAACTTTTATTGTTTTGTGATGCCAGTAAAAAAATACTTTTGTATGCTGGTATTGACTCCTTCTATGATCAGCTTTTCGGCTATGATACTTCGATCAATTATCTTCTGAAGTATATATCTATTCTAGAAAATAACTGAATTGCTATTGCAGTGGAATGAGTTGACAACATTTTTCTCTACTAGTGCTTAACAAAGGTACATACCTTGAGTGCCATATCAGAATGAAAAAGTGACAAGACTGCAGACAGACTGGCGAAGGCAGGGAAAGTCCTTTCTTTTATACAAATGTCCAGAAAAGACTCCGCCCAAGTACTGACGTCAACGAATATCATCCAGCAAGTTAACCTTGATTCTTTCTAGACCCCCCTCCCCAGGTGATATTACATAAACATAGATGTTTGTCTATGTTGAAGCTATATTTTCAGAGACAGAAAGAGAGAGAGAGAGAGAGAGAGGGAGAAACATTTCAGACAATGAATGGGCAACGAATGTTATAGTAAAAATGAATGGCGACGAGGATCTGTGTCCTTTCTTTTATATGAAGGCTTAGATGCCTCCACCCTCTCCTCCCTATTCAAGATGACTATTTAAGATCATAATCAGCTCCAAAAGGTAAGACCTTTATTGGCACTTTCCTTTGCACTTTTGATATACTAAAATATGTAAAACCATTTAGGTAATTCTGCTTATAAATATAGACTGATATTAATTCCATCGTTCCTCATACAATGATGAGCTAAAATCAGATGGAGAGAGCAAATTACAAGATTTGACCATAAGTTCTGGTATCTTTTATGATTCGATGAGAAGAAAAAAAATAGATATTCAAATAAATATATATATATATATATATAAATATACTGCATAAAAATCTATAGCTGAGCGTATTAACTTGATGCCGTTCCGCTGTCACGCACAAACACACCTTCATTTTAAACACACTGAATGTAAACCACTGGAACCTCATTATCAGTTTAACTTGTTAGGGAAAGTTCTTGAATATCAGATCGAAATATATCGTCTCGCTGCAGTTCCATATGATTTTCCTCAACAAGCACTTGGGCAAAGTATGACTAAACGGAATGTTAGTTCGCAGAAATAGTCGTTAAATCTACCGTAGATTCTATGGACTCTGATATCTATATCTATGTTTATCTCTTTATCTGTCAATCTAAGCATGTATATACAAACATGTATATATGTGCACATACAATATATGCTCAGACCAAATATCAAGAATACAAAATACGTCCATGTGGAAGTTATATTTATACACACACACACACACACACATATATATATAACACATTTCACAAAATACACGCAAAAATGCACACAATATATTTAAATAGTTTTTAGTTATTTTTTAAAGAGAAGACGTTATAGAGGTCAGTTTATGGTAGTATATACATATTCAAAAACAAAAGTGTGAAATTGATATAGGGGGTAGAATAAAGTGTCTAGAAATATCATTTGCGAATTTAATATAATTTATGAAAATAGAAGATCAAATAGTTATATATCGTTTAACATTTAAGCATAGGAAGGTGTAGGCGGCTTGTAGGAAGACTGAGGAGGCCCATAGGAGGCCTTTGGGGTGGGGTACTGGGCCTTGCCTTCGTAGGTGACGTCAGCCACATAACCGGAGTCTCCGTTGACAGTGTAGGTGACTCTCTGCAGACGACCGTCAGGAAGTAGGACGTAGTAAGATCCCTGTGTGTTGTCTCCATCACGGGCTTCCTGATGTCCGAAGTCGTTACCAGATGGTTGGTCGTTTACGGCGTAGTTGAAGTCGTACTTGGCGGGTGCGTAAGCGGGTGTAGGAGCAGGGTAGCCGTATGTAGGCTGGCTCTCTGGAAGCGCGATGGCGGCGACCACAAGGGCGGCTATAACGAATACCTACAATACAGTAGAAATGTTAGTACTAAGCATGTCGTAAACTGAATTTCTTTAAGAAAATATATTTTAAAGTCTTGAATAACGACCTGTGGAACTCCAAGAGTTATATTTGTACATGCCTTGAACGCCATGGTTCTAAAAGTTGTGGTGAGACTGACAAAGAGAAAATTTTCTTCCGTTATATATGAGTCGAAGAGAAAACTCCGGCCTTACGGTGACGTAGGAGAGTATCATCTCGGCAGGATTGCCTTGAGACCTCTCGTGATCGAGTTTCCCCTTTCGGTGATGTTACACTTACGTTTGAAGGTTTATTTGTAAGTTTTATTTATAATGTGGAAATAGTAAAATTCCTGAGAGTCTTACATTCTCTCCTTGCCAAAGAAGAAATAAAAAAAACAAAAACAAAAAGAAAAGGAAAGAAGCGTGCCTGTTACAGAAGCTGATTCATACTGACGGGCAGGTGACAACTGACCAGTTTATACCATGCCAGGCCCACACTAAACCGTGAAGACACGCTCCTTCAGCTACCGCATTGTCAGACAAATCTGTGTCAGTACGGAAGTGATTTCCCCCTCATTGCTACCAATCGAAACCATTTAAAGCCTCAGGTAGAATCACATCTTTTACTTATGATTGGATATTGATTTTCTAAGCTTTGTAGCATGAGTGACTGCAAAACGCTACAGTATGTACACGAAAATGTGAGATGTTTTAGATAAAATAGGTAAGGAATACTTACAAAGGAGTATACTAACAAAATTGGCATTTTGTATTACCATTTGGCAAAGTGGCTGCCAATTCAAGATATAGAAAGTAGTGAATATAGCTATGCTATAACGTAAATATTTGAATACTCATTATTATTAGAACACGCGTTTCATGTTTTAAAATTATTATGAATGTCAATTTAAAGAGAAATATAACAGTATCATGTTTAATATTTTTTTAGAGTAACTGCGCATTACATAATCAGCAACATTTGAGGTTCATGGAAAGTATATGCAACCATACATAATTCATTTAGATCAAGTATTCGAAATGAAGCCCATATGGGTAAATGTACAGATAAACTTGAATGTAGAACAAAGAACGCATAAGAAAAACGTGAAGTAAGGAATGGATGAGAGGAACTGCATTAGAAAAAAATGGACTACTAGTCAAAAGAATGAATGTAGCTAGAGAAGGGATGGCATAATAGGATTTACAGTAGTTCTAGCTAAAAATACATATCAGTCTACTTTCCACATTTCCTCAAGCTACAAGTTGTGATACTGATGCAACTGTAGGCATACTAATACACGATAAAAGTTACCTTGATAAAGAACGATAAATTGAAGATTATAATTTTCAGAATTAAGTGAGCAGTACATTATGATAACTATTGTGACAAATCAAAGTACTATGCACAGGAACTAAAAATCCAATGGCAGATAACTAGGAGTCTGACCAGGCACTGTCTCTTCGTTTACTTTATAGGTCACTATTATAATCATCCCTTTTAATCGGTGTCATAGCCTTACACGTATATCTGACGAAGTCGAAATCGGTCAAATATATCTCTTGCACTTATGATATATTCATTCTTATTCGTATATTCGTTCTATATTTGTAGCAATGAATACTGCTCATAGAAATACTACGAATATGATTGTAAAATATTAATTGATAATGCATGTCTAATAGAACATCGCTCTAAATACATACATCTCAAATAAGGGTTTTATCTTTTGATAAAATGCAGAATAATTGCCACTAAATGTTTGTCTCAATTATTTTATTACTGGCATCACGCGCACAAATAAGAGTGAACAAAAGTAAATCACATAGGGGATGGAAGACACCTACACGTCATTTTTTTTCTGATTTCATATACACATTATACAAAGATTCGAGATGAATACATTTAGGCATAGGAGGGTGTAGGTGGCTTGTAGGAAGGCTGAGGAGGACCATAGGAGGCCTTTGGGGTGGGATACTTAGCCTCTCCTTCATAGGTGACGTCAGCCACGTAACCGGAGTCTCCATTGACAGTGTAGGTGACTCTCTGCAAACGACCGTCGGGAAGAAGGACGTAGTAGGATCCCTGTGTGTTGTCACCATCACGGGCTTCCTGATGTCCGAAGTCGTTACCAGATGGTGGGTCGTTTACGGCGTAGTTGAAGATGTACTTAGCGGGTGCGTAAGCAGGTGTGGGAGCTGAGTAACCATAGGTTGGTTGACTATCAGGAAGGGCGATGGCGGCGACCACAAGGGCGGCCAGTGCAAATATCTGCAGCACAATATTTTGAAATTACATTTCATGATATACAAGACAGGCTTACCCATGCTGAAGATAGCATTTTGTCAATCCGAATGAAGGTAACAATGACAAAGGATAATGAATCAGTTTCTTTTACAGAGCTCTGTTCGCAAGAACCTGACTATTTGAGTTTAGGCTAGCCTAGGAAATGAAACGAGGTAAACGGAAAATAATTGATAAAAGTAACGGGAATATGACAATGATTATACACTGTACCGTTGCATTCTTTGCGATATGTCTGCAACAAAATGAACTGATCATGATTTGTAGTTACAATTCACAAAACACGAGTGCATACCTTGAATGCCATGTTGTCAGAATGAATCTGTGATGAGACTGCAGGGACACTGACGAAGTGAGAGTCATTTCTTATAAACGATTATCCAAGAGTAACTCCGCCCTTTCTGTGATGTCATTAAATATTCCTACAAGTTTACCTTGGTTCTTCTATCGACCAAGTTTTCCCATCCAATGGTGTTACACAAAAGTTTATTCTAACAATGTCTTTGGCTGTCTAGATAGAAATTATATAAAGCCAATAAATAAAGTTATAACTCACTCATATATATACACACGTGCCTATACTGTTTATGTGCAGATGTATATATTATAGACATACATATATAAAAATAGATATATGTACATATATACATATTTTCTTTATACACACTCGTATCTACTTACATACACACATATGTGTCTATGTGTATGTATAAATGTAAATATATATAAATACATATTTGTGTGTGTATTTATAAATGTATATTTATCATATATGTATGAATATATATACATATATACCTATATTGATTATATATATGCATATATATTTTTATTTACAGAAATATATATATATATAGATTCATCTACATATTGATTACACACACACACACATACATATATATTTAAGATAATATGTATATATATGTACATATATATATGCGCACACACGCGCATATATATATGCATAAACATATACGTATAATATATATATATATATATATATATATATATATATACATACATACACATATGCACTACATAATTAAAATGTATAGTTAATATATACATACATATACAAACATGCACATATATATTTGAATACATATCTATATCTACCTATCTATTTATCTATCTATCTCTCTATATATACATATATATGTATGCATGTGTGTGCGCGCGTAATTAGTATATACACATACAGAATTATAATCTCACACAAAAACATATATAAAATTTTCATAGTAATGGTTTGCTCTTGCAACTAAGTCACCATTTCTACCTGAGAGTAATTTATTGTTAGTGGTTGTATGGAAAGGCATATATATATATCTATAACTATTCATAATGCATAAAACAACCAAGCACATATCATGCAGGGCTGTTAATATTAAGTCCCTGTTCACCACTGTTCATGATTTACAGTATTCATTTGCATTCCCTGTCACAGATTTTCACAATTCACTCCCTGCATTTCACTTGTTATCACCAGCATCTCCGATCACCGCCCCTATCCCTCTGGACTCTCCTCAGTTTAGCGATAATGTATTTGGGTAATTCAGTCCCCAGTTCTGAAATGATACAGAACATAAATCCTAATATGATTTCCTTTCGTATTATTCTCATCACTATTTGAACCCGCCAGTATTTTTTTGAATGAATATCTATATACTATCAGTACTACATATGAACACACACACTTACACACACACACACATGTATGTGTGTGCGTGTTTAAATGTGCGGGTGTAAGTAAATAGCTATAGACACCAGTGGTGCAGAGGTGACAACGTAGTGATAAGTGCTGGTTTTCCAATCACAAGGTCCTGGGATTACACCTGGACGCCCCGAGTGTGAGTGAGTACTGTTTTGCTGAAGTCAGCATGCTGAGGTCAAAATTGGGCCGAAAAGGGAGTGGCCACTATCGCATCATCCCATGGTCCTCTACGTACATGTCACTACGTCCATTTGAATACAAGACCAGCTTTGTCTTTCATGTATATGTAGTGCACACACACACACACACACATAAATAATGTATTTGCACATAAACAGCTAAACATTTCGGTACATATATGTTTGTTGTATTGTGTTTATATTGTTCACGCAATATAATCAATTCCACAATGAAACATTTTTTTTTGTTAGAATACTGAATTTTATGTAAATATGATGTACTCAAAGAACTACGGCGACAATATGGCTAAACTGTGTTCATATCATGAAATATATTGATATTAAGGATTTAAAATTACTAGATGTGAAATTTGTGATTCAGTCTGTATTCTGTAAAGTGATCCGAGAGTAATATTTTTTCCATCAGAATATCCGTACTGCCACAAAGGCATATTTAAATGCTGGCAAATACTCAAAGGAGATATTGTTAAGTGGACTTACTAAGCTGATTTGTTTTTAAGACTCATGGTACTAAAATTAATCAAATATACTAAGTTTTATGAATGACAGCATTCTAAAAATATGTCTTTGCCTTATTCTAACGTACATATTAGTAATCACTATTGTAGCTTTTGGATTTTTATTAATTTAAAACCGAAGATGGTAGGCCGTTGACGGCGTAGTTGAAGTCGAACTTCGCAGTTGTAGGGGCAGAATAAGCATAGTAGGCTGATTCTCTGGAAGGACGATGACGGCGGCCACGAGGGAGACCAGTACAAAGAGACCGCTATGCTTTGATGGCCAGGTTAAATCTCCTGTACCAGTATATTCTCAGTGATATGTTAACATCCCTACGACCGTATCTTACTGATATTCAGAATTCAGTTAAGTGATAATACAAGCACATGCCTTAAATGTCATGTCAGAATGAATTTGTCATGAAACTGAAAGAAAACTGATGGAGACAGTGAGAATCCTTCTTTTTATATGATTGTCTAAGAAGAAGCCATGAGGAAATATTTTCCATTATATTTTCCGTTCAGTGATGTGACAACATTGAGTGACATCATTTAACATTTTATTTGAATGTTTAAGAAGTCGTATACAACTAACAACTGAAAACTGAACTATTTTCCGGAAGAAAACACCTATATACATATGTATGTGTATATGTGTGTTCAGTCATACACATATACGCATGCATACGTACACATACACACACACATATACACATATATACATACATGCATGTAGATATATAAATTAAATATATATATATATATATATATATGTGTGTGTGTGTGTGTGTGTGTGTATACATATATACATCTATATGAATATGTGTGAGTGTGCAGTATATATGTGCAGGGTATTTAGACTGCTGAAGACCAAGTCAGTGATCTAGTCTTTACTTTACACAGTGATTAATAAATATTTCAATTAATAAATTTAAGCATAGGAAGGGGTGGGTGGTTTGTAGGAGGGTTGAGGAGGCCCATAAGTGGCTTGTGGGTACTGGGCTTCACCCTCGTAGGTAACATCAGCCACGTATCCGGAGTCACCATTGACGGTGTAAGTGACCCTCTGTAGGCGGCCGTCGGGAAGAAGCACGTAGTAAGATCCCTGAGTGTTGTCTCCATCACGGGCTTCCTCATGTCCGAAGTCGTTGCCTGATGGTGGGTCGTTGACGGCGTAGTTGAAGTCATACTTGGCTGGTGCATAAGCAGGTGTGGGAGGAGCGTATCCATATGTAGGCGGGCTATCTGGACGGGCGATGGCGACGACCACAAGGGCTGCCAGAGCAAATACCTGTAATGCATTCAGTACAGTCAGTAATCATTGTATAGTAAGCAAGGGTGGCAATTGCACATACATACAGTACAATTTCGTACGTAGGTCAGTATTTTTTTTTGTAAATGCCTGAAAGATAGTGGATATACACGCCTTGAACACCATGTTGTGAGAATGGGACGAGTAAGACTGGGGAAGTCAGAAGGATTCCTTTCCTTTATACTGAGGGATACTGGAAGCTCCGCCCTTGGCGTGTCGTCATTGCATGGTTACCTTGACTTCCTTTGAGATCGAATGCATCTCCTTTGGCATCTTTTCATTGGAGGAAACCGTTTATTATTCTGAAAAATAAAGAATCGTAACTTATGAAAACATCAAAAGTTTCAGATAATTGGTAAACCGAACAACGGCATTTGATGATGTCACGTATACTTGACAATATCTTTGTCATGACTTTTATTGGAATGCTCATGAAGCGCAGTTCATTATGTTTCTCATATTATTGAGTAACTAGGTCTTCCCTCCGGTTGTTTCATAGAGCCGGTTTCATTTTGAAAGTGTGTGCTTTCACTTTGCGTTAGTATCAGTTATGCCGGTGGAAGGTTAAACCGGGCAAATTGAATACCCGAAATTTCAAGCTGACCACACAGGCTGAGATTTTAGTACTATTAGTCTTGTGTATGTACAAAATAGAATATGAAATGAATTGTAAAAAAATAAAAGAAAAAAACAACAACAAACTAGTATGACTATATGTTGCGATCTAAAATTATGAATATGGAGACGAGAATGAAATTGACTTCCATTTTTGCTATCTAAAGCTGACTCAAGAATGCATTTCTAAATATGTCAGGCGAACTCTTACAACTAAAATGGTCTTTAGCAGAGATTGCACTGAACAAAGAGTTTTCCAGGATTACTTAGATAAAAAAGACTTGTCAATTCTTGGTCAGCGAAACCCGAGCTCATAAACGTACGAGTCTGGTGCATTGCTGTTATCTGGTATACATAATCTAGCGTAAACTGAATAGATCAAATGTAAGTGCTAATGAATATTGCCGTCATTAGTACTGGTAAGATATATATGAAGAAAATAATGGATATGAGTTATGGTAAAATATCAGTTAAGTAGACATGGAATACAAAGTTAGGGAAGGAATCATAATTTTCCCTCGGTTCCTACAATCAATGATTCAGAAATTTGAGAGATACGGATTGGTTAGCATCTCACAGAAGTTGGCTGATGAATGGAAGATTGTAAACTTTATTCATAAAGGTTGGAGTAATCTCTAACACGCAGATGCTAGCCCCTTCTAATCCGAGCATTTTTATTAATATTGCTACCTATGTCCAAAAGACTATTCATTGGTAAGAAAAAACATATCCTCCATAAAAGGAATTACATATATATGTATATATGCATAAATATACATACACATATATACACACATGTATACATATATATATATGTCACATGTATACACATGCACACACACACACACACACACACACACACACATACATACATATATACATATATATATATATGTGCACATATATATACAGTATACGTTTATGGTATACATTTATGTACATATATGTAATATATGTACATATGTATATGTACACATACATATACATATGCGCACACCACAAACACACATGTTCATGCATATATATGTATATATATAAATATATATATATATACACACATATATATAATTATATACATTTAGATTTTTTTCTTTATAACTTACCAAAGATCAATATTCTTGGAAAATACATACATGTATTTATACATATGTGTATACACATGAATATGCACACACATATATATGTATGTATGCATACACACACGCATATATATAAGTACATATGCATAAATATGTATACTGTATATATATAAATATATACGTATACATATACATATATATTCATACATACATATATATATATATATATATATATATATATATATATATATATATATATATATAAATCGCACTCCGATGTACAATCCTCTAACACACATTTATATGTAACACATTTATATATGTATGTATGTATACACACGCGCATATAAGTATATAAGTATATATGCATATATATTTATACTGTATATATATATGTATACACATACATACACACACACATATATAAATCGCACACCGATGTACAATCCTCAAAAATTTTGAGTTATCAGTGGACCAGGGCATTTGGAGAGGATTGTGCATCACATTTCAGCATTAGAAATATTTTCAAAATACATTTTATATATATTTATACATATTTCAGTTTACCAAAGAAAAATGTAAATTTTGAATCTACACTTTTAATGCTACAGAAGCTTATGAATTAGAGAAGGAATGTAAAAGTGTTATAGTTTGAGTTTGCTAATTTATTACATATATTTATTTGTTTATTATAAATATTTACGATCAATAAATATTTTTAGAAAACATGATTGATAACTATCCTGGCTAACATATCTTAAGCATAGGAGGGGGTGGGTGGCTTGTAGGAAGGCTGAGGAGGACCATAGGAAGCCTGTGGGTACTGAGCCTCTCCCTCATATGTGACATCAGCCACGTAACCGGAGTCTCCGTTGACAGTGTAGGTGACCCTCTGCAGACGACCGTCGGGAAGCAGGACGTAGTAGGATCCCTGTGTGTGGTCGCCGTCACGGGCTTCCTCATGCCCGAAGTCGTTGCCAGATGGTTGGTCATTGACAGCGTAGTTGAAATCGTACTTGGCAGGTGCGTAAGAGGGTGTGGGAGCGGAGTAACCATATGTAGGCGGACTATCTGGACGGGCGATGGTGGCGACCACAAGGGCGGCCAGAACTAATACCTACCGAAAATTAAATTTTCGTGACCAAGTTGATGTAGTGTATTCAATCATTCAATCTATGATTTTAGAAATATTTACAGTAACAGACAGAAAACATTCAATAATGTATAATCATAATATCATATCTATTATCGTATCAGAAAAAAAGCCTCAATAAGGTTGGTGTAAAGTTAGAAATTCTTAACCAGTTACCTAAAGTAAATAAAATAGTTCCACCAGGTTTGGGAGCTGAGTAACTTTACAAACACAAGAGCAACCAGTACAAATACCTACCGAAAAATTGATTTACGTGATCATATTGAGAGTGCAGGGTAAGTCATGTGATTCATGAATTTAGAAATGTCTACACTAAATCACCGGAGGCTATTTATAACATATCTAATAACATAAAATTATAACGTGAAGATACCGTATAAGATTGGTGTAGATTAAGAAATTCTTTGCCGTCAACAAAAGTAAAGCAGAACAGCGCCATTACTGAATTTTAACAACCGGAAGTACCATTTCAACATCTCCCCTTTTCAGATCAAATTCTCGGCAACGTATTTGGTTTAGATAATGTTAGGAGGTTAAGCATGGTCTTTTCTGAACAATCAAAAGGAGGTATCTTAAAAAGAGAAGAAAGTAAATATTCGAGTAGTAAAGTGAAATAAGAGTGATAAATGAACACGAGTACATGCCTTGAATGCCATGTTGTTAGATTAGAGACTGCAGTGAGACTGAGGAAGACGGTGAGCGTTCTTTCTTTTATACAATGTCCAAGGGAAACTCCGCCCATATGATGACGTCAGGAAATATTCCAATTTAACCCTGATTCTTCTTTCAAGCATGTTTTCCTCTCCGGCGATATTACACAAATGTGAGATGTTAATTTTATTCCAAATGACTATGTGGAAGCTATTTTTTCGGTATTGTTTATGCTATACTGATCGTATAATGGAGATCTATATGGATAGTTTTTTATGAACAATATGTTCTCTATATGACTTTCTAGATTTTCGGTTGCTAAGTCCAGTGCAGGAGGATGCATTCTTAAGATTGGAGATTTTAAATGACTGATGTTGCATGAAAGTGGGCAGCGGTTAATATTGAAAGATCATACAGGTCCATTTTACGATGTGTTACATGGTAATTCGGGAATGAATGGCTGATTGGTGGTGATTGGTATTTAAATGACAAGTGCAGAATTGATTACATATTGTTTTATTGTCATGCTACATAATTCATAAATCAGCGATCCTGATCATTTTAATGATCAGAAATGTTAATATTAATCTGATAATTGGGAAGTTCGCAAATAAAGATCTCATTAATACCATAACTTTTGATTTACAAATATTACTCTTTTCCGATCCTAGTCAATATTAATAAATGGCTCGATTAAGGATTCCCCCCTAAAAATATACATAAATCATTCTGATGCACAATCCTACAATAATCCTGATTTACTCTAGCCTCCCACGACAACCTTGCTACTTGTATATTAATGGACCGTGGCGAGTTGAGAATGCCCATAGAATTTGAATTTCAGACAAATCGAATTAATTAACTGTAACACCACGTAAGATATCGGGAGCCTCAGTCATTTATATCTAATATACTTGGCATTCTTTATTTGTTTTTTCTAAACAATTGATATTACCTTTACTGAACCAAGAACTACCCAACAACACGCTGCACTTCTGAAATCAGAAAAAAACATAGGCATATAATGTAACCTTTACTTAATGTACCATTGCAATCTATGGTGAAGATGCCAGTAATGTGTTACTGAGTTGGTGAGATACAAGTTATGTTTCTTTCTTCACAAATCCTCCGCTCTCAGCCTGGAGTGGCGCAAGATTATCTTAAAAATTATAATAATAATTATTCAGCTTGTTTGTTTTTCTTTACTAACTTAATTATAACCAAATGTATATTTTAGATTTATGCTTTTGTCGACACAGATGTTTAGGAGCTATGCAAGGAATGTAAGAGTGTTAAGAAGTCGTTTGCATAATTAATATGTAATATACGCCAATATTCTCTATCAATCAATCTTCCTAGAGAACATGGATTACAAAGAAACAAGATTTTATATTGATCCTGCCTAACAGGTTTTAAGCATAGAAGGGGAGAGTGTTTTGTAGGAGGCTTTTGGAGTGGAGTACTGAGCTTTTCCCTCGTAGGTGACCATCCGCAGACGACCGTCGGGAAGGACATAGTAGGATTAAAGTGCGTTGTCATTGCCACGGGCTTCTTGATGTCCGGAGTCATTACCAGAAGGTGAATTGTTGACAGCGTAGTTGAAGGCATACTTAGCGGTACTTATTAACCAATTTTAATTCAAGAATATAATAATCAATAATTTACTATATCAGAACGGCTAGTGCTTAGTAATAGAGCGCATGTTCGGTAAAGGATTTTCTTAGGCCTATATAATCATTTCGAGATCATATCGGTAAGGGAAACAGTCCAATGCATATATGAAAAACTGCTTTCAAATAAATAAAACTTTCACCACTATGGCACCACTTTATATTACCTTGTATGCCACGTCTTGTATGGATGGATCCTCTTAGTCAATTATATTTATCCTGCCCTAAATTGGTTTAACTCTTACTGAACAAATGGACAATATTACATTGTATGAGTGAAGGACTGCCCACCAACATTGCTGTCATGTAAAACTCGCTTCCCTGACCAGTATATAGATATATCTAGCAGTCACCACACGAGCCTCCTTTTAAGATCAAAGACTGATCTACACTGTCAGCGTAGAAGGACAGTGCATAATGTTTAATAGATAGAAGGCATATTACTTTTGATATACCTTAGTTATTCATCATGATAACATGGCAAATAAAGAACTAGTTTTTGAATATACGCTTTTGACGGCACAAAGGTTTTTGAGTTATTCAACGAATGCAAGTCTTCTTATTTTATATATAGTATATACATATAACCCCGGTCAATAAATATTCGTGGCGAACATGGAATATGTATAGATATTTGACTGTTATCTCCCCTAGCTATTAAGGTTTTTAAGCATAGAAGGGGAGGGTGTTTTGTAGGAGGCTTTTGGAGTGGAGTACTGAGCTTTTCCCTCGTAGGTGACCATCCGCAGACGACCGTCGGGAAGGACATAGTAGGATTAAAGTGTGTTGTCATTGCCACGGGCTTCTTGATGTCCGGAGTCATTACCAGAAGGTGAATTGTTGACAGCGTAGTTGGAGGCATACTTAGCGGTACTTATTAACCAATTTTAATCCAAGAATATAATAATCAATAACTTACTATATCAGAACGGCTAGTGCTTAGTAATAGAGCGCATGTTCGGTATAGGATTTTCTTAGGCCTATATAATCATTTCGAGATCGTATCGGTAAGGGAAACAGTCCAATGCATATATGAAGAACTGCGTTCAAATAAATAAAACTTTCACCACTATGGCGCCACTTTATATAACCTCGTATGCCACGTCTTGTATGGATGGATCCTCTTAGTCAATTATATTTATCCTGCCGTAAATTGGTTTAACTCTTACTGAACAGATGGACAATATTATATTGTATGAGTGAAGGACTGCCCACCAACATTGCTGTCATGTAAAACTCGCTTCCCTGACCAGCATATAGATATATCTAGCAGTCACCACACGAGCCTCCTTTTAAGATCAAAGACTGATCTACACTGTCAGCGTAGAAGGACAGTGCATAATGTTTAATAGATAGAAGGCATATTACTTTTGATATACCTTAGTTATTCATCATGATAACATGGCAAATAAAGAACTAGTTTTTGAATATACGCTTTTGACGGCACAAAGGTTTTTGAGTTATTCAACGAATGCAAGTCTTCTTATTTTATATATAGTATATACACATAACCCCGGTCAATAAATATTCGTGGCGAACATGGAATATGTATAGATATTTGACTGTTATCTCCCCTAGCTATTAAGTTTTAAGCATATGAGGGGGTTGGTTCATTGGTTCTCCTTAAGCGTAGGAAGGGGTAGGTGGCTTGTAGGAAGGCTGAGGAGGACCATAGGAGGCTTGTGGGGTGGGGTACTGAGCCTCTCCTTCGTAGGTGACATCAGCTACATAACCGGAGTCTCCATTGACAGTGTAGGTGACCCTCTGCAGACGACCGTCGGGAAGCAGGACGTAGTAGGATCCCTGTGTGTTTTCACCATCGCGGGCTTCCTGATGTCCGAAGTCGTTGCCAGATGGTGGGTCGTTGACAGCATAGTTGAAGTCGTATTTGGCAGGTGCGTAAGAGGGTGTGGGGGCTGAGTAGCCATATGTAGGCGGGTTATCTGGACGGGCGATGGCGACAACCACAAGAGCGGCCAGTACAAATACCTGCGGAAAATTACATTTACATGACTATGTTAATATAGTGGATTCAAATATACAATGTTATAAAGAGCTTTATATTGCACATTTAATAATGTATAATCACATTTTGGATGTCATACCGAAAAGAGATTGGGATACGACTGGTGAAGAGCTGGAAATATCAGTCAACATATGTAAATCAGAAAAGCGTCATGGAATGAAATGATATCATTCTGTGATACGTGAATAACACAGATACATACCTTGAATGCCATGTTGTCAGGTTGAGACTGCAGGGCGACTGACGAATGCTGAAAGAGTTCTACCTTTTATACGTGTCCAAGAAAAAACTCCACCCATGTGATGACGTCATGAAATATCGTCCCGGCAATGTAACCTTGATTCTTCTTTCGAGGGAATTTTCCCCTCCTGTAAAATGTAAAAGTTATGTTTTTCAGTATTAGCTTATGCTATGGAGATGTATATTCATATATTCATATGAATAATCTATTGGTAACGGCCCCTATATATAGATTTTCGTTTGTAAGCATCTGCAGATTCGAGATTTGGTGTTATTTGAAATTAGGGGATGGTAGTATTTGAAGATTTTAAACAGTCAACCGTTATATTTACGAAATCCGAAAATGGTTGTGTGACTTGTGATCATTATTCAAATGGTGAATACGATTTGATCGATGTGGTTGTTTCATGATTTTAGTGACATATTACGTAAGCAATCAGTAATTTTAAAAAGTGATTGCGAATGCTAGCGGTATTAATTGACGTCTGGGAAGAATTTATACTGGGCAATTCATTGTAGGCTCATTCTAATGGAATGGAGCAATCTCAATACTGTCAAATTTTCTAATTTGCAAATTACAAATTCTAATCCAAGACTATTGTGGCTACCTATATTAAAATGACAATTCCTGGTTAAGAAAAGCAAATGCTCGGTTAAGTATTCACCTTAAAGATGAAAATAAAGAACACAGTATATTAATCACATTTTGATATAGAATCCTCCAAAACCTGCAAAGACGACTTTGCTACTTATACATTTATAACTGGATCGTATCCATTTGGGAAAACTCCAAATCCAGAATAGTCCGCAACATGCTAGAAGAATCTATTTTAATCAGTCTGAACTATTTAACTGTGTTGGTGGTACGTGTTTCTTGCCTTGCGTGAATACCACGCAAGGTCGCCAGATCCACAACATTATGTTTATCATATTTTAAATCACACTAAACAATTAGGCAATATCATCTTGTGTAAATCAAGGACTAGCTATCAATCCAGTTGTTTTAACAAGGAATGGATCTTTAACAATAAAAAAGAACAGGGTTATGAACATCACCTGAACTGAGACGCCAATAATTTATTACTGAATCTAGTGAAATGAAGATTTATATACATATATTATTTCTCTTCTCCCGTAGATGGATCATAAGCACTGAGCCTGGAGGGTATCAGAATTAAAAAAAATATACATGTTTTTTTATAATGAATTATTTTTTTTCCCTAACATCTAAGTAAAAACTAGGTTTTATATATACGCGTTTGACGACAAACTGGCTCACTAATCACGAAGGGAAAGTAAGAGTACTAAAAGTAAAGTCTGCTGATTGAATATTAATGTATAGAAATATTCAAGATCAATAAATATTTTGGGGGAATATACACTGATTATTATTGTTAACATGTTTTAAGCATACGAGGGGATGGGTGGCTTATAGGATGGTTGAGGAGGTCTGTGGAGTGGGGTACTGAGCCTCTCCCTCGTAGGTGACATCAGCCACGTAACCGGAGTCTCCATTAACAGTGTAAGTAACCTTCTGCAGGCGACCGTCGGGAAGAAGGACGTAGTTAGATCCCTGTGTATCATCGCCATCACGGGCCCCCTGATGTCCGGAGTCGTTACCAGATGACAGGTCGTTTACTGCGTAGTTGAAGTCGTACTTGGCGGGTGCATAAGCGGGAGTGGGAGCGAAGTAACCATATGTAGGATGACTATCTGGAAGGGCGATGGAGGCAACCACAAGAACGGCAATTACAAATGCCTGCCAAGAAATATACTTATGTGGTCGTTGTGAATTTAATAGACTTTTACATGTAATATATTTTTATAGACATATCCAACACTATTTAGCATATTTGATAATGTTAATATCGGGATGAAACTGATGACTTCATAAAAGTAAACCAAAACTTCTTAGAACTAGAATCATCTCTCCTTTTAAACAAAATTTTGGTATATTCTTTAAGCAATGTATTTTCTGAATAATAAAAAGACAAAACTCATTAAAAATGATCAAAACCAATATCCATGTATGGAGGGAAACGAACATATTCTCAGACATACGAATAATGCAGACAGTATATGCCTTAAATGTCATGTTGTAAGAATGAGACTGAAACAAGACTTCAGGGAAACTGACGAAGACTGAGAGGGATCTTTCTTTTATATAAAATGTCCAAGAAAATCTCCATCCGTCATGACGTCAGGTAATATCTTACAAGTCCTAACACGTTAACCGTAATTCTTCTTTCAAGCGAGTTTTTCCTTCAGGCGATATTACATAATGTAGAAGTTTTCTTTAGTTTAAAGAACGCTGTGAAACATATGTATTTAGAAGAATGGAAGACAATCACTATTAGCAGAATATGAACCTTTCAGACAGTACTATGGTACTTAAAATAAAATTTGAGGCTGATGCAAATGTTAAACCTTTGCTTTATGCAAACCATAAGATGGCTTTCCTAATTTGATACCGTTCTTAAAGGTATACATGAATTTAGAATGGAATGTGAATGATATTTCTCGAAATTTCTTAGCACATTTAAGCATATATTTACAGTATATATATATATACATATAAATATGTTTGTGCGTGCACACACACACACACACACACACATGCATCTGTCTGTCTCAATTCCCAACCAAATAAAATGAACAGATAATTCTAGGTCTTTCACATTTCCAAAAAAAAGATCTGTGTCTGGATATAGAGAATAAATGTGAGATGTTATTAAATTTGCTTCTTTAATATCATATCTAAATATATATATATTAACAATTATTTTTCTTTAATATTTCTAAGCGTAGGAGGGTGGCTTGTAGGAAGGCTGAGGAGGACCATAAGTGGCTTGTGGGACGGAGTACTGAGCTTCTCCTTCGTAGGTGACATCAGCCACGTATCCGGAGTCTCCGTTGACAGTGTAGGTGACCCTCTGCAGACGACCGTCGGGAAGAAGTACGTAGTAAGATCCCTGTGTATTGTCACCATCACGGGCTTCCTGATGTCCGAAATCGTTGCCAGATGGTGGGTCGTTGACGGCGTAGTTGAAGTCGTACTTGGCGGGTGCATAAGCGGGTGTGGGAGCGGAGTAACCATACGTAGGCTGATTATCTGGGAGGGAGAGGGCAGCAGCCACGAGGACGGCTAAAACGAGTACCTGTAAAACAGCAGATTAGTATAAATTGGGTATTACTTGGATATTTGATCGAAATCTCTGTAATATATAGAAGACTGGGCATATTGCTTATGAAGCTCAATGGATTATGCTTATACATGCCTTGAATGCCATGCTGTCCAACGCTGTGGTGAGAATGATATAGCGAAAATTTCCCTTCTGTTATATAAGTGTCGAAGTGAAAACTCCGCCCTGATGGTGACGTCAGAGAGTATCATCCCAACTCGATTACCTTGAGACCTTCTGTGACCGAGTTTTCCCCTTCGTTGGAATTACACTTATGGTTGACGGTCTATTGGTAAGTTGTATTCTTCAAGCGGGAAAAAAGCAAAATTCATGAGAAAGCGAGAATGCACCTCCTCTCTGGTCAACAAAGAATACAAAGGGATTATTGTCACAATCACAAAGGCTGACTAACAGGTAAATATACCAATGCCAGACTGATGATACATTTTTAATACATCTGACCTGACCAATTGTATTCATGTACATCATTTGCGATTTAGTTTAATCTAGATTAAAGTTAATTTAGATTAACTTTTAAGAGATCTTTATTCATGAATCATCCGTATCGAATTTTAAGTATAAAAAGTGTATACTATGAATATATTAATGCATATTACCAAATACTGTAATTTATACCTAGCCTTGTATTGAACGTATTCTGTCAAACAGTATACTTCTACTTCAGCTCTTAAAAAGCTGTCTTCATTTTTTTTTCTTTTTTTTTCAAAGATTGTGAATTGGTCTTAAAAGGAAGAGAAAGTTAGTTAATAATTCAAATAGAAATCAGAAACTATGAAAAATAAAGCTGGCATGTTAGAGACCAGCACAGTGATCATGCATGTATTTGACAAATGTTGAATTTTAAGATTTCTCTAATTTAATGAAGTACAAAAAATGCATAATGTCAATGTCAACTTTCATTAAAGGGAGGCAAACATATAATTATATCAGTCAAGAGAAATGATAGTACGTAAGCTACATTAAAGAAAATTCTCTAATATATTATTGTTTGAAAAATCAATACGGGGACGATGCATTTCGCAGACTAATTCGTTATTTCCCATAGTCCTTTCGCATAATTCTAGTGCCATAATTCGCCGCAAAACTGCAACTCAAGTACACACAAAAAACATGGATTATTATTTAGAATCTAACGTAAATCATGTAAGATATAAAGTCAGGTTAGGGGAAAATATCAATGAAAATGGTCAAGCTAATTAAATATCTAACTTTATTTGATAGAAGAACTGGGCTTGTTAGAAAATTAGGGCTGGCTATGAAAGATAAATGATATAAAACCATGAGAAAGAGAGAGACAAAAATAGAATAATCCATAACAATAGTATTGATTAGTAACTTCCGAAAACCTAAACTGCTAAACCTTTCAAACAGCTGACAAGTAAACATAAAAAATTAATATGCCAAAACGCTGAAGTCAGTATAACAAAGGTTTTCAACTTGTTCTCCTCAACACTGGTATTCAAAACAAAACAACGCCCATATGATTGTCTGGCAGAAAATCACCCGAACATGCTTATCTTGGGCTCTTACGTAACCAAAGTTTCCCCCGCCGGCTATGTTCCGTGGAGTGAATTCAGGATGAAAGTCTGTGTCCCGAGGTTTGCTTTACCTTCAACATAACGGTGTTTACACTAAAAGAAGGGGAAAAATAAATATATGAATATATAAATTGAAGTGCCAATGAAAGAAACTTTGCATGTTTGCATCAGTATATGTATGTACATAAGTATGTATCCATCTGGTAATATGTATTTTAAATTATAAAGAATCATTGGCGAAAACTGTAGAGGATGGTATCGATACGTATTCCGGATACTGTAATATGCAAAGGACTTCTCGATAGAATAATTGTAACTACACACAAACGCGCGCACGTGTTTGCATGTGTGTATATTATATGAACATATATACATATTTATATACACATGTGTTTGTAAACATGTATATGTAAACACACAATCTATATATACATAAACGCACACACACACACGTATACACATGTGTATCTATCTATTAATATACCAAGAAACAAACACACGCACGCACACAATAATATATGTATATATATATATACGTATAGTGTGTGTTTGTATCTATATATACATATACATAAATGTATGTATCCATTAAACACACGCATATATGTATGGAAAAGCAAAGAGATATACGTATGCCTGTGTGTGCATGTATTTACAGAGAGAATCTATGAACTGTGCTGAACAAATATACATGCCTCTAATAGTATTCTGTCAAAGTATTGGAAGAAAATACTATTCTTTGATGATGGCAAACGTATGTGGCCTGAGCTTTACTGATGAATTTATATTTCTATCATAATACATATATACAGTATATACATACCCATATATGCACACATATTTTACATATATTCATACATATACACAAATCTTATGGTATATACCTACTAGATGTGCCATATATGTGAGAATGTGATTTGTTACAAAATATAAGCCAAAAATATTCTTTCCAGAAGTATTGGAGGATCGAGGAGGTAAAAAGTCATAGTCTGTTTATGTAACATTTATAATTTACAAGGATTAGGTATCGGTAAATATATTACGGCGTAGCTAAAGTCGTACTTGGCGGGTGCATAAGCAGGTGTGGGAGCCGGGTAACCATATGTAGGCTGGCTGTCTGGAAGGGCGATGGCGGCGATCACAATGGAGGCCAGTGCGAAAATCGGCAAGGCAAATTTACGTTTTAGTGATGCTTACGTATTGTTACTCTTGATCAACTCGGTAAACGGTATAAACATGTTAAATAAAAGTACTTTTAAACATGTCTTCAATGTCATACTGCTTCTATTTTGTGACAAGACTGGCAAAGACGAGGAAAGTTACTTGCATTTATACAAACGAACAAGAAAAACGTCGCCCACATTGTGACGTCAGGAATTAACATCACTGTTGCCTTGACTCTTGCTTTGACCAAGTTTCCTCCTTCAGTGATGCACCTGCGGCCTTAGTATTGCGTAAAGTCTACATAATTCATGCATTCTTCATCTAGAAATACTTGGTCATGAAATGTCTATTACAATACTACCGATGGTGCTTTTGATAGTAAATACATTGCATGGAATTGTTTCTATACATTTGATTAAAAGAAAAGAAAAGAAAAAACAACAACAACTAAGTATTGAACGAAGAAAATGGAAACAGGGAAGGGACAGGGAAAAGGAATCAAGTGATAATAAAATAGTTTGTTGTAATCATTCTTATGAATAGAACTGGATTTTTTTCTTCTAATCTACACATGGTTTTCAGTGATTTCATTTTGTGTATATTAGCGTCTGAAAACTGTTCGTCGTACTGGATAGACCAATACAAATACATAGATGAAAGCCACATATTCACTTAATTGTTGGTAAACTACCATTTCATACCTTTACCCAAAATTGAATAGTTAAAAAAGAATACTGATAATGATACACGTTACCTTTTACTGCCTTGATAGAAATGGCTAGCCCAGGTAAAATTCGTAAATATTCTGATGAATAAAATTGGAAATTTATTTTTCTAATCTACACATAGTTTTCAGTGATTTCATTTTGTTATATTAGCAAGTCTGAAAACTGTTCGTCGTACTGTAAAGACCAATACAAATACATAGATGAAAGCCACATATTCACTTTATTGTTGGTACACATGTACATATGTACATGTGTATATATATTCATATATATAGACATGTATATATACACAAAATGTTTAACTAAAAATGCTATTTGTTACAAAATGCTGACAAAAATATTATTTGTAGAAGTGCAGGAGAAAACAGAAAATAAGAAAAGGACATTATGGTCTGCTTATTTAATATCAATAACTTATAAGGACTGGATATCAGTAAATATATATTCTTTATTTTTCTTTAATATTTCTAAGCATAGGAAGGCGTGGGTGGGTTGTAGGAGGGCTGGGGAGGTCCATAGGTGGCTTGTGGAGCGGAGTACTGAGCCTCTCCTTCGTAAGTGACGTCAGCCACGTAACCAGAGTCTCCGTTCACACTATAGGTGACCCTCTGGAGACGACCGTCGGGAAGCAGGACGTAGTAGGATCCCTGTGTACTGTCGCCATCACGGGCTTCCTGATGTCCGAAATCATTACCAGATGGTGGGTCGTTGACGGCGTAGTTAAAGTCGTACTTGGCAGGTGCATAAGCGGGTGTGGGAGCGGGGTAACCATATGTAGGCTGGCTGTCTGGAAGGGCGATGGCGGCAACCGCTAGGGAGGCCAGTGCGAAAATCTGCAAGGTAAATTTACGTTTAAGTGATGCTTACGTATTGTTGCTATATTGATCAACTCGGTAAATGGTATAAACATAAATAAAAGTACTTTTAAACATGTCTTCAATGTCATACTGCTTCTATTTTGTGACAAGACTGGCGAAGACGAGGAAAGTTACTTGCATTTATACAAACGAACAAGAAAAACGTCGCCCACATTATGACGTCAGGAATTAACATCTCTGTTGCCTTGACTCTTGCTTTGACCAAGTTTCCTCCTTCAGTGATGCACCTGCGGCCTTAGTATTGCGTAAAGTCTACATAATTCATGCATTCTTCATCTAGAAATACTTGGTCATGAAATGTCTATTACAATACTACCGATGGTGCTTTTGATAGTAAATACATTGCATGGAATTGTTTCTATACATTTGATTAAAAGAAAAGAAAAGAAAAAACAACAACAACTAAGTATTGAACGAAGAAAATGGAAACAGGGAAGGGACAGGGAAAAGAATCAAGTGATAATAAAATAGTTTGTTGTAATCATTCTTGTGAATAGAACTGGATTTTTTTCTTCTAATCTACACATGGTTTTCAGTGATTTCATTTTGTGTATATTAGCGTCTGAAAACTGTTCGTCGTACTGGATAGACCAATACAAATACATAGATGAAAGCCACATATTCACTTAATTGTTGGTAAACTACCATTTCATACCTTTACCCAAAATTGAATAGTTAAAAAAAATACTGATAATGATACACGTTACCTTTTACTGCCTTGATAGAAATGGCTAGCCCAGGTAAAATTCGTAAATATTCTGATGAATAAAATTGGAAATTTATTTTTCTAATCTACACATAGTTTTCAGTGATTTCATTTTGTTATATTAGCAAGTCTGAAAACTGTTCGTCGTACTGTAAAGACCAATACAAATACATAGATGAAAGCCACATATTCACTTTATTGTTGGTACACATGTACATATGTACATGTGTATATATATTCATATATATAGACATGTATATATACACAAAATGTTTAACTAAAAATGCTATTTGTTACAAAATGCTGACAAAAATATTATTTGTAGAAGTGCAGGAGAAAACAGAAAATAAGAAAAGGACATTATGGTCTGCTTATTTAATATCAATAACTTATAAGGACTGGATATCAGTAAATATATATTCTTTATTTTTCTTTAACATTTCTAAGCATAGGAAGGCGTGGGTGGGTTGTAGGAGGGCTGAGGAGGTCCATAGGTGGCTTGTGGAGCGGAGTACTGAGCCTCTCCTTCGTAAGTGACGTCAGCCACGTAACCAGAGTCTCCGTTCACACTATAGGTGACCCTCTGGAGACGACCGTCGGGAAGCAGGACGTAGTAGGATCCCTGTGTACTGTCGCCATCACGGGCTTCCTGATGTCCGAAATCATTACCAGATGGTGGGTCGTTGACGGCGTAGTTAAAGTCGTACTTGGCAGGTGCATAAGCGGGTGTGGGAGCGGGGTAACCATATGTAGGCTGACTGTCTGGAAGGGCGATGGCGGCAACCGCTAGGGAGGCCAGTGCGAAAATCTGCAAGGTAAATTTACGTTTAAGTGATGCTTACGTATTGTTGCTATATTGATCAACTCGGTAAATGGTATAAACATAAATAAAAGTACTTTTATACATGCCTTGAATGTCATACTGCTTCTATTTTGTGACAAGACTGGCGAAGACAAAGAAAGTTACTTGCATTTATACAAATAAACAAGAAAAACTCCGCCCACATTGTGACGTCAGGATTTAACATCACAGTTGCCTTGACTCTTGCTTTGACCAAGTTTCCTCCTTCAGTGATGCACCTGCGGCCTTAATATTGCGTAAAGTCTACATAATTCATGCATTCTTCATCTAGAAATACTTGGTCATGAAATGTCTATTACAATACTACCGATGTTGCTTTCGATAGTAAATATATAGCATAGAACTGTTTCTATACATTTGATAAAAAAGCTAAATATTGAACAAAGAAAATGGATACAGGGAAGGGACAAGAAAAGGGAATCAAGTGATAAGAAAATAGTTTGTAAAGTATATATATATTTTTTCCAATCTACACATTTCATTTTGTGTATATTAGCAAATCTGAAAACTGTTCGTCGTACTGGAAAGACCAATACAAATACATAGATGAAAGACACATATTCACTTTATCGGTAAACTACTATCTCATACCTGTTATAGGCCTATCCAATAATTGAATAGTTGAATAAGAATACTGATAATGATAAATGTTACCTTTTACTCCTGGTAGAGATGATTAGCCCAGGTACAGTGATTTAGCTACATAAACTGCCAACTTATTACTATAGCACTGACTTGGAGAGAGGAGGGAGACAAGAAACACGTGCTCATTTCTATAGATGTGGGAACTATTATGTTATGTAGAACGGTTCAACGACGTATTATATGTCATTGTTAAACAATATGGGTTAACCCAATGAGCGCGGTTGGCAAAACTATAAGTGCCATGCCCACTGTAATAAAAGTTTTATACATTGTCCTTACACGTGGCTCTACAAGTGCTTAGTTACCAAGGAATCAGCTATTAGTCTCACCTTCCTCTTCTCTTACCCTTATCCTTAACTTTTTGAAAGCTTCACTTCTATTATTTTTGGAGTTATAAATATCTCAATACCAATTTAATACTCATAATATCAATATGAATGATAACGATATCAATATAAGTAGTAATGGAAAGAAAAACACATTTTCCGCCAATTCAAGGAATGGAGAAATCGGGATCGGTCACTAGGGCCAACTGACAGACTCCTTGCTGTTGAACACACATCTATATATAACAAAATTCACTAAAATCTAAAGGGGACAATAAATAAGCCCGCTGACATTAGGTTAATATAGAGTATACGATGACTCATCTGTTGCAAAATTTCCCTTTTACTGTTATAACACACCGTATGCGTGTGTTATCACATATATATCATACACTCGTATAGTAGCGTTGGGTTGGCAGGGTAGGTATTGAATGTTAAATAGTTCACCAATGACACACATCTCATTGGTGAAAGACCACCTCAAAGACCCTTCTGCGAAAGCTCTGGGACCCTTAACCATTACCCCTTTTCTACCTAAGGTGTCGCAGCCCCGCTTTCTGAAGTCCGGTTTCCGCCCATGCAGTCACAAAGATGTATTCGCCATTGTCATAAACATATATTTTCTAATACTTATTTTTTAAAATGGATATTCATAGATAGTAGTCTCAGTAATGGAATAGACAGAAGGAAATTAATATATATACATATATACACATATATTTTTGTATATAGAGATATATACATACATATATATGTAGATATAGTGTGTGATTTACAAACGCATGTGTACACACATATATACATACTTATATTGCGAGTCGTGTGTGATTTATAAACTTATCTACACGGTATACATATGCTTATATATTTACATGTGTAAGTTTTTACATACATACATAAAATGCACATTTATACATATATACACGTTTGTACATATATACAAATATGTATACATATGCACATACATATTCATATAAGTATTTGTATGAATATATACAAGTTTACGTATGTGTATATATAGAAAACGTACATGTATGTGTGCGTGTATTTATAGATACTGATATATGAACTGTTAATTTCTGTGAAGAGCAAATAAACACACCATTCATGCAAATCTGTCAAAAACACTGCTGGGTGATTAAACTATTTTTGGACAGTAACAATTTTATGTAGCCTTAGTACTACATAATTCATATTTCTATTAAAATTAATACCTATATACAGCACACACACACATATGATATATATATAGTACTTATTTATGCACATACAGATATACATTCATACATATATACTAACTCTACAAGAATGTAATAACTGAAAATGTGATTTATTACAATATGCTCATATAAGACAAAAATGTTCCTTCTAGAAGTAGGGGAGAAAACAGAGAAAAACAACTATTATAGTCAGTTTATTTAATAATGATTTACAAAGATTGGGTATCAGTAAATAGATTATATTCTTTTAGGCATAGGCGGGTGTGGGTGGGCTATAGGAAGGTTGAGGAGGCCCATAAGTGGCTTGTGGGGCCGGGTACTGAGCCTCTCCTTCGTAGGTGACGTCAGCCACGTAACCAGAGTCTCCGTTCACAGTGTAGGTGACCCTCTGGAGACGGCCATCGGGAAGCAGGACATAATAAGATCCCTGTGTGCTGTCGCCATCACGGGCTTCCTGATGTCCGAAATCGTTACCAGATGGTGGGTCGTTGACAGCGTAGTTAAAGTCGTACTTGGCGGGTGCATAAGCGGGTGTGGGAGCTGGGTAACCGTACGTAGGTTGGCTGTCTGGAAGGCCGATGATCGCGACCACAAGGGAGGCCAGTGCGAATATCTGCAAGGCAATTTTACATTTTAGTGATGTTTACGTATTGTTATCTTTGATCAACTCGGTAAACGGTATTAACATGTAAATATAAATGCACTTAAACATACCCTGAATGCCATGTTCTTTTTACGTTGTGACAAGACTGGCGAAGACAATGAAAATCCTATCTTTTATACAACTGTACAAGAAAAACTCCGCCCATATTGTGACGTCTGGATATAACAGCAAGGTTGCTCTAACTCTCCTTTTCGATGATGTACCAGCGGGCTTAGTTGCGTAAGGTCTACATTATTCATACATTCGTATAAAATACATGTTCTTGAAACTTCGGTTGGAATATTACCAATATTGCTTTCGATAAAAGTTATACAGCTTGGAATTGTTTTAATGCTTTTGAAAAAAAAAGGCTAGATATCCAATGAAGAGGATGCAAACGGGGAGGGGGGAGATTAACGGATTTTAGACGAAGTTGTAGTCTGATGAATAGAATTAAACCTTATTTTCTAAAATCTACATATGTGGTTTCAGGGCTTTCAATCTGCGTATATTGCCAAGTCTGAAAACTGGTCGTCTTCATTAAAAATATATAGATAAAAATATAAGCGCCATATTCACCCATATGTCGTAGATCAACTAGTTAAAAAAGTAAGTGATAAATATATTTACTCAGTCCTGATAGAGATGTAATTTAGCGATTTAAACGTATTGTCAACTTATTACTTTAACATTAGGTTGGAGGGAAGGGGGGTAGCAAGGAATGCGTGCCCCTTTCTCAAGATATGTGAACTTTTGTTATGTAGATTATTTCAACGACGTTTTATTTAGGTCATCGGTAAAATAGTATGAAATTATATAGAGGAACATGACTCATTTGTGGCTAAATTTTCATTTCGCTGATGTCACATACTTCTGGTAGTGCAAACGGCATGTCCCTTACAACACTAAACAAAGTATATATATTTGTATGTGTGTGTACACTCATATATCATACACTAGTGACCTTTCGTTGTCAGGGTAGGCATAGACTGTTAAATAGTTCACCAATGATGCACATATCACTGGCGAAACCGCTCAGTTATTGGAAGCGCAAGACAAGTCAAAGACCCTTCCTCCACGAAAGCTCAGAGAGCCTTTTACCCATTTTCATCATTCTACCAGAGGTGTTCGCTTTCCCACTTCCAAAGGTCAGGATTACGCCCATGCACCCATAAAGATATATTCACCATTGTTATCTACGTTTTTTTCTTACAGTGCAGTATTTTTGATTGATATTGAAAGTCGTCTGAGTAATGGAAGAATGATAAATATCGTACACACATATATTGTGCATGATAAACAAATATATAAATATTGAGTAATTACCAAATACATGTATACACACACACACACATACATAAATATGTGCATTTGTTACATTTATGTATATGCATACATACATGCATACATGTGTGTACACAAATGTATGCATATACATATGTATACACAGTATATAAATATGTTTACATACGTGTATGTATATATATACACTTACATATGCGTGTGTGGATGTGCCTGTGTGTGTGTACGCGTGTGTATACATACACAAATATATATGTAAATATATGTAGGCACACATACATACATATATGCATATATAGACATGCATATATGTATGTAAAAGACTCATTTGCGTGTAATTATACAGAATGATATATGAACTATTAATTTCTGTGATGAACAAATAAACGTCAAAATGTCAAAATGTTAGGAGATTCTACTATTTTTGATGACGGCAAGAATTTCTATTTCTATTATAATGAATAGATGCAGTATATATGTTTATAAAGGACATACATGTATATGCACATTCATATATACATATATACATACACATATTTGCATACATATATATACATACATATATATGCATATATATATATACATAAATATATATACACAAAATGTTTAACTAAAATTATTTTTTACAAACTGCTGGCAAAAATATTATTTGTAGATGTACAGGAGAAAACAGAAAAGAGGAAAAAGACGTTATTATTGTCTGCTTATTTAATAATAATTTATAGGGACTGGATATCAGTAAAGATAATATTCTTTTAAGCATAGGAAGGCGTGGGTGGGTTGTAGGAGGGCTGAGGAGGTCCATAGGTGGCTTGAGGGGCGGAGTACTGAGCCTCTCCTTCGTAGGTGACCTCAGCCACGTAACCAGAGTCTCCGTTCACACTGTAGGTAACCCTCTGGAGACGACCGTCGGGAAGCAGGACGTAGTAGGATCCCTGTGTATTGTCGCCATCACGGGCTTCCTGATGTCCGAAATCATTACCAGATGATGGGTCGTTGACGGCGTAGTTGAAGTCGTACTTGGCAGGTGCATAAGCGGGTGTGGGAGCGGGGTAACCATATGTAGGCTGGCTGTCTGGAAGGGCGATGGCGGCGACCACAAGGGAGGCCAATGCGAAAATCTGCAAGGCAAATTTACGTTTTAGTGATGCTTACGTATTGTTACTTTTGATCAAATCGGTAAACGCTATAAACATGTTAATTAAGAATAGTTTTAAACATGCCTTGAATGTCATACTGCTTCTATTTTGTGACAAGACTGGCGAAGACAAGGAAAGTTACTTGCATTTATACAAACGAACAAGAAAAACTCCGCCCACGTTGTGACGTCAGGCTTTAACATCACTTGCCTTGACTCTTGCTTTGACCAAGTTCCCTCCTTCAGTGATACACCTGCGGGCTTAGTATTGCGTAAAGTTTACATTATTCATGCATTCTTCGTCTAAAAATACTTGGTCATGAAATGTCTATTACAATACTACCGATGTTGCTTTCGATAGCAAATATATAGGATGGAATTGTTTCTATACATTTGATAAAAATACAGAAACTAAATATTGAACGAAGAAATTAGAAACAGGAAAAGGGACAGGAAAAAGGAATGAAGTGATAAAAAGTAGTTTGTGGCAATCATTCTGATGAACAGAATTGGATTTTTTTTTTAAATCTACATATGGTTTTCAGTGATTTCATTTTGTGTATATTAGCAAGTCTGAAAACTGTTCGTTGTACTGGATAGACCAATGCAAATACATAGATGAAAGCCACATATTCACTAAA